TTTTTCACCCAATAGGGGCTCAACTGAGCTATCAGCATCTAAGTATATTGCAAAGCTTTGCTTCATATCGTTTTGGTGAGCCTCGCCATCGAGCTTGAGCCAGTGCCACATTCGAATACATTTGGCCAGAATAGTACAAGACGAGTGATTTTGTGTAACTATTGACAGCAGTGCCTTTCAGAAGCAAATAATGTAAAAAGTGATTTTTGATCATTGGTCATAAGGTCAGATGCTTCTCACACTACAATGTTTTGAAGCTTTTACAAATGTCATACGCGATTTCATAAAGTACAGACTGTGCAGCTACGTAACATTCACAAAAATGTGAATTCTCGGATTTCTCCAATACAAGCAAGAGATTTTGAATCTTCTGCTTCAAACTTCAGCAGTTCTTCAGTAGTAGCCATAAATATAAAGTGCAATCGCTACTACTGTCTCCATAGAATCGGGAATTTACTGTGCAATCCTACCGCATCTATTAGGTTTCCCCAAAAGTAGACCGTATTTCTAGATAAATCGAACTGTATTCGTTTTCCTACCACATTAGATAGAGCTAAGTAAGCTCTACAAATTGACCACCAAAGATCCGCCTCAGCAGCACTCCAGGTAAAGTTTGGAGCAAAAGTCACGAAACAACAGCTGAAAATTGGAATTTTGCGCAGAAAAATCCTACGACCTCAAACATAGTCATTATATAGCAGACACATTGTAGTACTCAAATATGCCTTTACTAGATTATTTTCCCGCATAGAAAGCGAAAAAAAGATAGTCCAAAATGGCAAACCCGCTCTAGTCCCTCCCACATATGTCATTGTATACTAAAAACCTTACTTAGCATAATCTTAAAACTTTACCCTTGTATGTGCTCTTATAATCGAGACATACCAAGTTTTACATGAAGAACGTGAAAAAAGTAACATTTTGGTATTTTCGGACAGTCTTTGTTTCTCAAATGTGAGCCCCGGAAAAAACCCAGCAAATACATTTTTGGGTGCACTATGTCTGCTGTATAATGACCAAGTAGGAGCTCCGTAGGAATTTTCTAGAAAGGGATCCGATTTTAAGGTGTGATTTTTGGATTCATATTTTACCCAAAACATGACTCAACATCAAACGCATCTTTGGTGGTCATTTTGTAGAGCTTGCTGCGCTTTATCGAATGGTCCCAGACCTGCTAAGAAAACAAAAAAAAACTTGATTATTTAGACATACGGTTTACTTTTGGGACAGCCTAATAATACACTAGACTGTCTAAAGACAAGCTGCGCCTATACACGTGTAAATGATCAATGCATGCATCATATTGCATGTTCTTTTGAATATATACTAGCCAAAAAGTTGCTCTTAAACGAGTTCTTTATGAGATAACTTCAAATCACCCAATCTATGAGATTCAATGTAAACTCTCACCCATTATATCGTGAGCACAAATTCCTTTGATTGTCAGAAAACAATGGTCAGAAACTTTGCTAAGTATTGCACTCCTTCACCAAGTGATCTCTTCGAGAGATGCCTCTAACGTTATAATGTTGCAGATGTTTTTGACTGAAACACGCTTGTTTCAAATTTTGAGATCGCTCGAGAGATTAAAGATTCTACAGCAATATGACTTTTCATAGAAGAAGGAAAGTAGTCAATATATTAGGTTGTCCCGAAAGTTTTGTCCGTTTTTTTTCATTGCTCACTAAAACCCAGAGAACAGTAATCTATTGATGTCTTAGGTACCATTCGATTCAGATTTTTATTCTCTTTCTTACAGCTACATTTGCTCTCTGATCTACCCTGTATTTGCGATGTTATCGGCATGGCTTTTCGAGCAGCTTAACAGTAACGCTAAATCTTTCCTGAATTTCAAATAATTTTACTCTGGAGTTTTCAAGGAGCGCTGGTAACAGTTATGTAGAGCAAACCTTTGGCTACATTGCACTTATTTTAGATTACATTGAGCGCTTTTTCAAGTCCGTAATAATTATTTATTTAAGAAAAACCGCGGCTTTTTGATTACATTTACCACCTAAAATCATCGAAAATTCCAGAAAGCTGCTTTCTCAAAGCAAATCAAACTTGGTTATGTTGCATAAATAATGTTTAATAGAAATCATGTCTCATTTCAGAGAATTTCAAAAGCTTTCGTGTTTTTGCTGCAGTTGCGCGTTTCATGATTTGGCCAAAAATTGAGACCTCCGAAAAAAATTATTTTTGAAGCTAAAAACAGCAGAGTAGGAGAATATAGAAATATTACCTTGTAGTGCGAGAATTGCTGTACTTGATCCATACTTAATCTTTCCCAAAGCTTTAAAATGAGATTTTTGAAAATTAGCCGAACTTTGAGCAGATAAAATTGACGAGCGAAGAATCTTGGCAATTATCAAAAAAAGCATACAAGGTCATGGTTCGAGTATGTGTCCGTAAGAAAGAAAAAGAAAAGCTGCATTGAATGGATGTTGAACCTCATTCAGGTCTTCATTGTGCGTGGTTTTATAGTGGTTTGAAAAAACGGACAAAACTTTTGGGACAAGCTAATATGTAGCAACTCCGTAGGCCATCCTGTAGCAAATGGTGTATTTTATTCGAAGCAATTACTGAATGGCACTTCATACGGATATGCAGGAACATTTGAAATTCTTCTCAAAGCATAACATCTCGAGTTTTGGAAATCTCCAGCCTTCTGCAACCATAAATAAAAACACTGCTTTCTTCGAGTAGTTGAGCGTACGTATTTTATTATACAGGGTGTCCCAAAAGTAATTACACACTTTTCAATCGTCAATATCTCTCTTCCCAATGGGTCTTTTTTTGCCATGCAAGTACCATTCTGTAGTGGAAGCTTCAGCTTAGATTTACAGCATTAAACGAATCACTGATCGCTTTTCGTTACTGTAGGATTACGGTAAGAACTTCCAGCATGTGCAACCATTGTGAAATATGCCATCCGACAAAATTTTCTCAAAAAATCTGAAAAATCATGTACTAGGGTTTTCGCGCACACCGATTTTGTCACAAAACTTTTTATGGGTGTTTTCAGCTTTTCTGACAGTGTAATTACAGTTCCGACAAATGCTGGTAACTCGATTATTACGATTTATCTGGGATAACTTAGGAAAGAAGCATCAGGGTCAAGTGAAAGTTTCATATTCAAAATCAGCGGTTTCCACTACCATAGAAGAGTTTTTGGCTTGTTCGGTTTTGTTCTGAGGCAGAATATAGCTTGCAACGGCATCCTTGTCGAAGTACCTACAGTAATCCCTACACGATCGGTGATTCGCTCGATACTGTAAATCTAAGTTGAAGCCTCCTCTACAGGATGACACTGAAATGGCTGAAAAAGACACAGTGGGAAGAGAGATATCAACGATTGAAAAGTGTGTACTTACTTTTGAAACACCCCGTAGTTCCATGTGAGGACTAATACTACTTTAGGCTCAAATCTCAGATGCGACTAATTCACTGCACTACGCTGTATGGCAGCGATGGCCGACAAGGAACGATGGGCGTTAAGATAGATCATATTCCAAAAATTATGCTAATCTTTGGTGCTACTGTTTAAAGAAAATACAGGAGGAAAGGCTATGGGTGGTAGGATAAAAAAGGATAAAGGATTCGGCGTCTTCAATACCCTCCGCGGGCATGCGCCGAACGCACACACTAATTTCTTAGTCGAAGAGGCAATTTTGTATGCGTGCGGGGCTTTTACATGACTTGCGGGGCCAGCCGGTTACCAAGTCTGTGCTTTTATCTTTCCAGATCCTTTTATCCTCTTGTACCAATTTACCAGCTCCGAAGAGTAGAGGGCTTGCTTGGCCCAAGGACAGTCATAGCGGCGCCTCATACCACTACAACACTTGTCCCCATGGATGGTAGGGTAGAAAATAATTACCAGAAAGTATCACACTCATATGAGAAGGCATCACCTCAATGTTCAGCCCAGTCGCTTCCAGTGTCTAGATATTATCAAGGGTTAGCAGAAACCCGCTCGAGTAGGGATGAAAATCAAGAAAATGCGGTTGTGAAAGTGCATACGTGGCGCACGCAGTAAGGATCCATCGTCCGATTCTAATGTCACACAAGTGAAAACACTGCTTACAAGGAAAGGTTACTCGGTGGTTGTAACCATTTAGAATGCGATGTACCGTAAGATGCATCTCGAAATGCTGATTCTAAATCTGTGCTCGATATCCGCGAAACGATCTTCTGAAAGAAGTTATGAAGTTTTTTCGTAGAAAATTTGCGCACTTTTGAGTAGTAATCGCCAGAATCTAGGTTTGTTTGAAGCTACTGAAGAGAATCTCAAAGGGTATACTGTTGATCATACCTATCTACGTATTCAGCGTTTGAAAAAAGAAGAGAAATTTTTATTGATGATTCTGACCCTCCGCAGTAGCTCAACTTATTTATGAAAAATTAATCATACCATACCTGGACAGCCTTCGAATCAGCATTAAAAGGCGCATTTTCTTAAATGTAGAAATCATTACGAACGGCCACGGTCACCAAGTATTCTTCCCTTGTTAGTTGTTGTTCTGGGTAAATGATCAGAAGCAGTTTGAACCTGAGGTGAATATATATTCTGACTGAATTAAAGGAACCCAAGATGTACCAAAAACCGAGATCGGAAGCCTGTGGAGGAAATCACAACTACATACTCCGCGTAAATGACAAGGCAAAGAGACATAAAAGGCCAGAGATCTTCCTCTGCTAATAAAGAATATCTGGCGCTTTGCATTTTCTATAGAACATCCAATATATGTTAAATAAGCTGCTCATTTTTTCAGTAATCATCCGTGGTTAATCGACCCGCCTTTCCAAACTGATACGATAATCTCATTAGTTACCTGTAAATTTCAACCTTTCCTTTTCGTCAGAGACCTCATACATCCATCCCCCCCTCTCAACTCTTGCCTGCTTAGGAGCTGAGAGTATCACTCCCTTTGCCATGTACAATTCAAAAAACGATTCATAAACTTTATTTATCAAGCAATCGGATAATCAGATGTGTACACACGCAAGGCACATTTGGTGAGGCGCTCAGAAAAGGCATTACTTAATCAATAAATCAATAGATCGACATTTAAAACACACAACACGTTAAATATGTGCACATGCTTGGATCGATAAAGATATTAATTCAAATTTCTACAAAAACAAAATTTAACGTATCGATCCAAACATGTCACTCTCTTAATCGATCGATAAACAGTAATTTTCTCCTAACGTGGAACTGTACACCTATCACAGTTTTGCTGACGCAGCAAATGGGGCGTGTCTGTCCGTCCCGGGTTACAAAAAACCCGGTACTGACCGACCCCCAACAGGGAGGGAAAATTACAAAATTAATCTTGAAGAGAAAATTATTAATAATATTCTTTTTAAAAATCTACATACACACATTTGGCGAAGGCGAACGGCCGGCATAAATAAACTTTGTAAATTTTTTACAACAAAAATTTAACTACTCTAGATAAATTAAGACCCATTTGGTGGAAAACAATGGTGTTTTTCGAGGTTTTCAGTATTTTATTGGTATAGGTTTGATGACACCATGCTCCCAGGGTTCGCCGGATGTTTAGTCAACGTAGGTTCTGAAATGAGAATAATTAGTTGGTCGGTGAGCATAAGTTATTGAAATTTGGCCCCTCTCATATTCGAAATGCAAACGTTATTGATGTTGCTGGTAGAACGCAATTCTCACGATAGGAAAAAAATTGCAATAGACAGGAATTGAAGGAAAAGGAAAGGAAAAAATACAGCACAGGAAATTATGCTAGTGCTGAGAAAAGACATATGCATGCAAGATAATGCTCTCTTACAACTGTAGGATTACGGTAACAGCGGGAAAGCTGCATACATTATAAAACGGACCATCTTATGCTTCTAATTAAGAAGCGGATACCGGTATAAAATGGTCCATTTCATAATGTGTGCCTATGTACCGTCATATAGAACCTTAAAATTAAAATTTCTCGCGTTTACATTTCCTCACAAGTGCCACAAGAATAAGCCAGCGTTTTGAAAATCAGAAATGTTTTCTTCAGGTAATTTTGCATACTGTAGCCTTCTTTATTTTTTTTGTTGGGTAGATAATAATCTCATTTTCGAGTAAAACTTTGTAAATTTCCCTTGAATAATTTCTTACCTTGCCGGTCCAATCCAGTGATTCAACTGCGGATCTTTTGCATCTTCAGCGCATTCGCACTCATCTTCACTACAAAACGGATGCGCATAACCACAATCGAGCGCAGTTGAACGGCAATTTGGATAGAACCTAAAACGGCATTTGTTGAACTTCAGAAATGAATTTTATGAGTATAAGGCATAATATCCAATGCTCATTCAAGAGAAATGTGAAAATAAAAACAAGTATTCAGAACTCACAAGCACATCTTGTATGGATGCCACAATGGACAGTTGTTATTGATACGATGATGACGATCTTCCCATTGTGGACATTGTGGTGCTGGTTTTCGGAATTTTTCACGTTGCTCTGTAATTTGCGTTGATATAAGGGATACAGAAAACTCAAGATCGTATGCTCGAAAATTCAAAAAAAAAATCAAAGGGACCCAAATTTTTCAACTAGAGATCAAAAAAGTTTTTTTAGAGAAGGTGACAGAGAAGTGCAGAAATGTGACAAACGTATAATGCTTACGAATTTGGTAAAAAGATAAAACAATACGCTTATCCCTGTTTTTCTGCAAACCAATAGAAAATTTCCTTTAATCAATTTTTCTTGAAACAGACTGAGCATTTTTTATCAATTTTCAAAAACAGACAAGGGCTAGATAGACTAGACTTTTTGCTCACCTGAATCCCTGGGTTCACGTCCCTTGTATTGAGTTGGACTGTTATTGGCTGTTGTTGAGAAAGGATTGCGGCTATTTCCACGACCTGGTTTCCAACCGCACTGTAAAAAAATCGATATATTGATTTTTCCACTCATTCGTTGATTAATTCTTGCCTACCTCTTGCACATCCCCTTGTTCGTCATCTTTTCGAATTTTTCCACCGTAACCGCCATTCTCGCCATCACCACCATCTTTCCACATATCATTACGCATACCGTATGATGCACGTCGTTTATCGTCATGACCTTTTTGGAATGGATTATGTTGAAAGGGATTTCGACGCTCGGTTTGGCTGAATGGATTCTTCTGTTCACGCGGTGCTTCGGCGCCAACTTCGGCAGCGGCGTCGCGACCGCATTTTGCGCAGAAACGTGGCGGTTCCATTAGCTGAGCGTACGGTGGTGGAGCGTATGAGACGGGAACGAATTGGTTCTGGGGAAGGAAGCCAGGAAGCATCTGGAAAGGAGGAAAATGAGTAATACTACTAGATTTATTTTATCCATTTTACTCTAAATATAGTTTTCGCTTTTACGTGGGATAAAAAGTCTGCAAGAAAAATGCTTTGTATTCGGATAAAAAAACACCCGCAACCCATATGGACCGAACCCCCCCCCTCCCTTCCTTTCGAGAATGTCGCGCAATTCTTAAGCGCCAGCTCGCTTCTACATACTTGCCATAACTTTTCATATTTCATAAAATTCATGGCAGCCTTGTAGAAAGTCGGGGGAGGGGGGGGGGACTACCCTCTAATCACTTATTCCCTCCAACCTTTTTCCCCAAGGCCCCGGACAGACTTCACGCAATTTGATCGTCGCGACTGAATCGCGACGAGACAACTGTTACAACATCATTCCGTGCCGATCAACTTGCATTTCGGTTGTGATACTTTTCCAGCTCGAAATTTTTGAATGTGAAATGAAAATGAATGGAAATGTCGGCGATTGAGTTGCGACGATCAAATCGCGCGAAGTCTGTCCGGGGCCTAAGGGTTACAAGCTCAAGGATTTTTTTATCCAGATTTTTCGAAAGCATAGCTAACGCCTTTCAAAAATTTGTCATACTTATAAGGCTATTTGAATTTTAAAAAAATTCCAAGAATTATTTTAATTGTTTACAAAAATAAACAAGTCACTTGCACATTTTTATGACTCATGTACTGGTAGCTATTTTTACGCATTCTAAGAGTTTATGGAGGCCCATGAGTTACGGTAGGTGTACTCTAGTGGACCTTCAACTCGTAATGAAGAAAATTGGATGATTTACCTGAGGTGCATAGATGTTTTGCGATCCTCCATCATCAATGCTATCCACAGATGCATAGAGGTTTTGGCTTGAATCGCTGAAAGGAAGATTCTAATTTTTTCAAGTGATCAAGAAAATTTGATTTTGTCTCGGAGAAGCCTTCTGCAAATAAAGAATTTTTTGAAAGGGGTGTTTTTTCTTCTACAATTCTGTGTGTTGTAAATTTTTCTCAAGCGTGATTCTGATGGGGTTTTTTTTGCGAAGGTGTGTCCAATGACGTTCCATCAAAGCGCTATATGCCCCAATTAGAGCTCAGAGGGGCATTGAACTCGAAACGCGACAACTCGTCCTTGGACATGCAATGTGGACGAGAAAAAAAACTAGTTAGCAGAGGTCAGGCGATGAAGACGCAAAACTTCCTAGAATCGAGCGCAAAAAAAAACAGCGCTCGACTTGACCGCTCGGCCTTGTTCGTATCGCCGCCGCGATCGGTTTTATAGCGATAAAAATCGCCGACGTATTGTCGCTCTTTGACCGCGATTAGTGCTGGAGATTAATAATAACGATGTTATTGATCAGAAGTTTTTTTTGAATTGGAGGACAAGATGCGGGCAGGACCTCTGGTAGCCTTAAATTTGCTTCAAAAAATGTAGTCCCGCCCTCCGCCACGCCCACTTTCCTAGATTACTCGAAAATTTCCAATAGTACCTTATTTTGCAATGTTATGAAGCTCAAGTGAAAAAAATCAAAATCTATTATGGATAATAACCGTTCTGAAGAAAATGGAGGATATGGTGTGACTGCACACTATGCGCCAAAAAGAGGACGTCATCGGCCATTTGTAGGACTTTGACTACAGTTTTTACACATTTTAACCAATCACCATCTCAAGAAAATCAAGAAATTTGTGCACTAAAGTGCGGAATGGGCGAGTCTCGCCAATATGGGCGTGGCTTGCTCATCTTATTTTTTGCACTTTTCCGCAAAAATGCATTTTCGCTCACCTGCTTCTCAGTGACTCAGTTGTTTGCATCATGTTGGAATTGACAAACTTTTCCGATGTATTCGTTGTTTCCGTCGGTTGTGCGGGATCGGTGGAGCCGCCACGCGGTGGCGCTGGCGCCATCGCGCCCGACAGGCGCGAAAGTAACCGCGTCAAACTATAAACACAACTGATTATAAAAAATAATCCCAACTTTGCTGGAATTGACGAATAAGACAATAATTGAAACTAGTACTTGGAGGTATAATTTATGACCAAAACTAGAAAACCCAACGCCATCGATGCAGAGAAATTCTCAAAGCCCACATGGTCAAGTGTTTTGCAAGTATACGAACCAGTTAGTCAGGAAATAACCGTGTAGGAAAGGAGTTTGCTCGATGCTCATGCAGAAACCGGCACAGTTTGTCGAATAACATCGAACGATCAATGATAGTTTGGAGATGGTTTGATATTGGTGTTAGTCATACAAAACGTTCTAGAAAACGTTTCATCATCTTCACAAGGCAAACCTTGCCTAAGAAAGAAATGCGAAATGTTGGTGTTGAGTACAAAAATAAAGAAAACGCCACTAACATTATTGTATTTATGTTTCCTTTGATGTGAATGTTTGGAAAGCTTTGAAAACCCTTTTCAAAAAATTACGATAGGGCTGACACATAACATATGAATTGGAATGAATTGGCCAAATTAAAGTGAAATTGAAAATAAGAATATACAACACTAAGGATTGAAAAACGATTCTAAAAATGTCATCTTTGACAATTATTCTTAGCATGTTCAAATTTTCGGAGTTATAGATTCTTTGCACCTTTGAAAACTGTGGAAATCAGAGAATTTTCCTTCAAAAAGCTTATACATTTGCGTTTTCAGAATAGAGAGTAAACGGCACAAAAGATGCATGAATAACTTCAAATTCACTTTTTAGAGTTTGTTAGGCAAGCTAGTATTTTGTTATCTTAAACTACTGATTTTTTTTGAATTTATGGCGTTTATTTTTTCGAAGTATGCTATTTTTGTTGCAAGAATAAGATTTCAGGATTGCCAAGATCCAATGGCGGTTAAAGAAGGTCATGAAATCAACATCTATAAAGAAAATCAAATGATTTTAATAGAAACCAGAAGTCCTCTTTACGTAGGTATTGAATAACAATTTTCTTGAACTTCTTGCTCGGATAGAGAAGTGTATGTGTCTAGAACGAGAAAGGTTATATAGGAAATTCAACAGCCGGCTATTTCGATCTGTAGCTCAGAGGACAAGCTTTATATCTTCTCAACGCGAATGAAAGCAAAAAAAAATTGAAAAAATTCTTGCTGGGATTCCCTGGTCGATCGCAGAACACATGTACAACAGAACCATAGCAGCGACAGCATGGCTGATGCGTTGGTTGGCCGAAAACTCGTTTTCCAGCAGCAGAAGAGAGAGAGAGAGTTTTACAAAAAGAATACTCTCGTGATCTGATAGACATTACCACATTCGGGCACTCGATTGTCCTCGCCATCTAGGCAATCAATATCGGACTAATGTTATCGAATTCTATGTGATATTGTCATAAACAATAGTGCCAGCCACAGACCTAAGGTGAAGTGACCTCAGCCAAGTAATGGAGAAGTGAAGAAGGATTAGGATAATTCGCAGGCGCTGCGCTAAAGTTGCGTTCGCTGACCTCATATGAATAGGTAGGTGCGCGGTAGAGGTACTGTCTCTGCGGTGGTAATTAGACGTCGCTCATATGAAGTTGGTAATTATTGGGTTGGCGGTAAGTCAAGAGCCAGCCGAATGGGTCAGGTACAATTGGAAGGGTAGGGAGTATTACAAAAGCATCAGCGCTAGATATTGCCTTTGTAGAGGAACAAATAGGATATCACCTTCGTAGTTGTAGTCAAAAACAAAAAATATCTACTCTCTATGATTGTCAGACTTTGCCTTCGAGGGTTCACAGTGAATCGATGGTTCCAGTCCACTTCAGCTAGGTAAACTTCAAGCTAATGACCGTGATCCTATCACTCGACTAAAGAAGTTCCGAAACGCTCCTACAAAACTTCCCTAAAAGGATTTCCACCCTCTGTCATTCTAGATTCTGTAAAAAATTCACAGATGATTAAAGGATGCAAGTAATTACTGGATTGCTTTAGAAGAGACTTATGTATGGTATCCACTCCCCAGCAAAAGCAACCAAACTCAGCAAGTGGTAACCTCAGACAGATAGTAAGCTAATGCACTTTATCTGATACTTTTTGAAGACTCGCTAGCACCAAACTGGAGTTTTGAGTTGGTGACAGCCAGAGAAATCGCGCCTCTTGACCATCTCCCGGAGGGAGGGGGGGGGGAGGGGTAACCGGAGCAAAACTGTAGTGGAACTGTGTGTGTTTCACTTCACTTTGAGTAGCTTAGAAAATAGATAGATTCAAGGTAGTGCGATACAATAAAGTAAAGAAGTACATAAGCTAGAAAATGAGAAAATAAGGTATGTTTCCAGACTTCAGTTGGGGGTGTTAAGCTATAACTTTCACTTTTAAATATAATTGCAAATATGAATCACAGCTGTCAATTGAAAGACATGAAGAGGAGGTACATTTTCATTCCAAAGTCTGGTGAATACTTTCATGAACGTGTGAATCTTCATCTGTTCGTTACACAGAGCACAAATTTTATACCTATGACAAAAAGTTATATTGCTGAGGTTGTATTTTCTTGTTCACAAAAGTTCCATCGTTTTTGCGAAGTGAAAATGTATATAATGGCCATGAAACAATGTGGAAGAAGCTGTTCGTATTATTTCAATCGTTGCATCGAGTTCAACTTGGGACTAAAGAAAAAAAGTAGGTTGCTCGAGTTTGAGTACCTTCATTGTGAACATCGATGTCAAGGATATAATGAATAGTGAAGAGTTCTAGTTTTCTAAACATAAAAACCTCTCACACATTATCATTACAGTCCCTATAACTTCGCAAAACCAGTCCAACGCGCATAAAATATCCCTACCCATTAGGGCCACCAGCTCCCGGAACACTTCTATCCCGCCGCTTCGCGCACACTGTCACAATTGTCATCGACATATAATTAGCCTAATAACCATTGCCGTCATTGAGTGGTAGAATTGAGGTGAGATGTGATGAGGTGCGGAGCCGATGAATAGTCCGACAGAAGTATGCTCTCTGAATGAGGTGGCGGCGCGGAAAAACAATTGACAAGGACGGTGGCGGTGAGCCGAGCGGACGACGCGCGGAGTGCCGACATCATCGGAAGCAGGTCAAGAGCGGCTGGATGACGAGCAATATGCTGACGGGTGGTTTGGAGACGAGATCGGGGAGAGGGGGTAGATTGATGAAGTGGGTGATGATGTGGGAGTAGACGGGCAGTGGAAGTATAGAGTATACAGCTGACAGTACGTGAAGTCTCGCAAGGATCAGGAATACCGTAATCTTACAGCATGAGGAAGTCTTGCAGTCTAGATCAAAGATATCATCTTATAGTGCGAGAAGACATACCAAGATAGGCCAAACTGTGATCTACAGTATAAGGAGTCTTGTAAGAGTGGGTCAAAATCACCGTGATCCAGGCTTAGGATAGGTCAATTTAACATAACCACTAAGTGGAAAAGTTGGTCTGCCCTTACACTATGGGTCAAAGAGTATCGGATCACTTCATGAGAAGTTTTGCAAGGGTAAGTCAAAGATACCGTATTCTTTGAGTTGAAGAGCTGGATCGATCCATACAGTATGACTGATCTTGCGAGGGTAGGTCAAAATTACCGTAATCACTAAGTATAGTAACTGATTAGAAGGTGCAGTATGGAAGGGCAAGGGTATGTCAAACTTTTCGTACTCGTTGGGTAGAAAAGTATCTAGCATTACGGTATGGAAAGTCCTGCTGGTGTAGGTCAAAATTACGTGATCACAGGGTTGAAAAGTGTCAAACACCACAGTATGGGAAGTCGGGTAAGGTTAGATCAAAGCTACCGTTCTCATTATACTCGTGGAAGGGTAATGGACATCACAGCAGAAGCTTGCAGAGGTAGATCAAAGATACCGCAATTGGTGGGTAAGAGAGTATGGGTCATTAGACGAGAACTCTTGCTTGGTTAGTTAAATTACAGTAATTATTGGGGGAGGCTTGCATAAAAAGTTATATTGTGGGAGCTTTGATCATTGGGTAGAAAAATATCGGAAATAGTACGCCAAGCTTGTGAGGGTAGGTCAAAGTAATCAATCATTTGGTATTTTTAAGAATATGGAAAGGAAAGGTCAATGATTTGAAGGTTCGGATAGGACAAGTCAAGTCAAAGTTACCCTAATCCTTGGTATCTACGCCCAACCCTCGTATCTCGCTTGGTAAGCAACAAGAAATCAGGAACTGACACCTCTGACCACTGGTCACACCACAATGAATAACTGTGACCCACCCTGGGCAGGTAAAACTCCTAAAAATGGGCGTAACCGATCCCGATCGCCGATCCCCAAGGCCACGCCTCCGCTGCCCCAGCGCCGAGATCCCAGCGCAAGATTGCAGCGATATCGGTTGATTTATGGATACGTACAAGTATGTGATTGAATGTGATCGAATCGCTGAATGATGTACGAACTGTAGAAGTGGTAATTATGTCAAAAATTCTCATGCACGATTTATACGCAATCTAACCTTGACACTGGTTGTTGCAGCAATAAAACAAGTGGGTAATTTCAAGAGAGGATTACGGTAACAAGTCAATGCCAACTGGGTAGTGGATAATGCAATAAGTGCAGCATGTGCCTTTATTTGGGTGAGAACGATTGCTGAGTAATGAGGAAAGTGCTTGCCGTAATAAAGAAAGTACATTCTGTTGGATTCTAGGCATTTACTGTATTATTTTGCTGTACAGAAACAATAATTTGCTACAACTGGAACCACTGTGATAAGTAATAAATTTTTTGCATGTTCAATAATCTTTTCGTCCAAAGACCATCAAAAATGCCATCACATAGGATATTTAAACCAGACAAATAATAGAAATAGCTATGTACTATGAACTCGTTTTAACTTAAGGAAGTCATGTTCAGTTATAAAAAGATGGTAGCACTAGATTCTGACAACCTAACAAAAGAAAATGTCTCAAAACTGAAGTTTTGTGGCTTTCATTACAATTAATGATTTTTAACACTATTTCAGGTTGGACCAAA